GCTGAGGTGCTGGTGTGGAGAGCAGCATACCAAGGTGGCCCTGGGCAGTGAGCCCATGGAGAACTCCTCAGGCCTGATTCTAGAGACCATTCTGTCTCCCTAGGCCTCTGGTCCTGTAATGGAAGACACAACCTCCAAGATTTCTGAAATGCCTTCAAGGTCTTTTCTTCCTTCTCTTGGCAATCCCTTGTTTTTGCACTAGTCTCTTTAGCCAACAGTTGTACACCATTGAGTTGTCCTCCTAAAAGTGCTTTCTGCTTCTCTACCACATGGCGAGGCTGCACACTTTCCCAATATTTAAGCACTGCTTTCCATTTAATTATAAATTCTGGCTTTATGTCAAGCCTTTGCCACCATAGCTCAGTGTAAGCGGTTACAAGTAGCCATGCAGCTTCCTGAATGCTTTGCTGCTTAGAAACTTCTTCCACCAAATATCCTGGGTAGATCCTTTAAGTTTCACATTTCATAATACTTTTGAGCATGAACAGAATGCAGCCAAGTTTCTTGCCAGTTAACAGCAAGGATGATCTTTGCCCGAGTTTACAATAAGTCCCTTCTCATTTACATCTGAGACCTCTTAGAATGGTCTTTATAGTCCATATTTCTACAAGCATTCTGGTTGCTACCACATAACCAGTCTCTAAGATGTTCCAAACTTTCCCTCATCTTTTTATCTTCTTCTGAGTCCTTCAAACTCCTCCAACCTCTCCTTAACACCCAGTTCCAGTGCTGCTTCCACATTTTCAAGTTTTGGGTTTTTTTTTTGACCAGTAAGGGGATCGCAACCCTTGGCACGGTGCGTTCTGCACCACGCTTAGCCAGCAAGTGCACCGGCCATCCCTATATACGATCCAAACCCGTGGCCTCGGTGCTGCCAGCGCTGCACTCTCCCAAGTGAGCCACAGGGCCGGCCCTTCAAGTATTTTTTATAAGCAACACCTCACTTCCCTGGTACCAATTTTCTATATTGGTCTGTTTCTGTTGCTTATAACAAAATACTTGAAACTGGGTAATTTATAAAGAAACAATATTGGGGCCGGCCCAGTGGCGCACTGCTACAGTGCACCTCTTGGGAGTGCAGTGGCGCTCCCGCCGAGGGTTCGGATCCCACATACAGACCGGCCGCTCACTGGCTGAGCGAGGTGCGGGCACAACACCGAGGGTTGCGTTCCTGTTGCTGGTCCCAGACTGGCACGGGCGCGACACTGAGGGTTGCGATCCGTTGCCGGTCACGAAAAAAAAAGACAAAAAGGAAAAAAAAAAAAAAAGAAACAATATTTATTGCTTATAGTTTCAGAGGCTGGGAAGTCCAAAGTCCAGGAAACACGTCTGCTGAGGGTCTTCTTTAGCAGTGACTTTCCAGCAATGCAGGAGTCTCACATGGTGAGAAATGGCAGGAGCAGAGAGAAACTCTCATGAGCTCTCCTTTTAAAGCCCTCAGAACCACACCCCTGACCACCATTATTATCAACCCACAACACCATTAAACCCAACTTTTCTGATTTCAAATGTCCTCAAGTAGCATAGCTCATTGATATATCTTGAATAGCCAGAACTGATCATTTAAGTGAGAAAATAGGATAATTTTTAGTTTTGAGAATAAGATATCAGTATGAAAAGATAATATTTTAAAAATATGAATGCCCCTTTTATGTTGTTCCTGACATATCCTTTACCCTTTGGCCCATCTGGGTACCTGCTCAAGCTTGGTAATTCTGTGCTCATACTTCAGGGAAGGGATGTAACGTGATAGCAGAAAGTGGAGAGAAGGAGTTCATTTTTGCCTTTTTGAGTTTCAAGAACCTGGGCTATTGTGGGGAACAGAATGGGCAATGGAACTGCTAGACTGTTTACCAAAGCAGCTATAGCATTTCACATTCCCACCAGCAATACCTGAGCGTCCCAGTTTCTCCATGTCCTCACCAACACTTTTGATTTTTTTAAACAACTTTAAATTTTTGGTATTTCAGAGACTATAAAATCTTTAAAGTAGGATTTAAAGAGGAAAAACGTTTCAATAATGCTATTTTAACTTGAAGCTCTAGTATTTATGGCTTTTAAACATTAAGACTGACTCTCCAGTATATAATCTTTTAATTGAATCTAGATATCTCCAATTCTGTGCATTTCAGCATGAGGAGACTTTTATGGGAGGCATGACACAAACTCTGCAGTATTTATGAATTAAACCAAGTATCTTAAACTGCTCAGGGCAGCAGGACATCAGCCCTTGAGGAGTAGGCTGCTCTATTAATGAAGAAATAGACAGTGAAAGAGAATCAGAGAATGGTTTTCCCCCAGCTAGAGTAACCAGATAGCTCCATATAGAAAACACGGTCGATTGTAATAAAAAGAGATTTTGTGAAAATGTTAATTTTCTGTCAAATTATTGCTTTTAAGTTAGAGAAGGACCTTCACTAGGTACTATAATCCCTATGTGTGTACTTGCTGATAAATAAGTCAGTGACATTTTTGTTTCAAGTAACTGTTTTTTCTTCATAAAATCATTAGTCTTGAGTAAATGTCATGCTTGAATTTATACATTTCATATTTCCTTAAGTGACCCCAGTCTAGACAACACCAAAACCTCTCATTTCTTCAGAGATGCTTATTTAAGCCCTGTAGAAGTATAAATGTAACCGTGATCCACAAATCTAACCAGACTTTGGCCATGGTATCTAAAACTTTTTAAATTTTGTCTCCCGCCTCCTTAAGACTTAGGCCCTAAAGTAGTTTTATACAAATGTGTAGCACACAAAGATATGACAAAGCTAAATAATTCATTCAATATTTATATATTTGTGTATTAAAATTATGCAAATTAAAGCATGATTATTTTACATTTACAGTTGATAAATGAACTTTCTTCAGTGTATCTGTTTACAAGGTTTGGAATTTTATGACAAGGAACCCCCCCAGCCTTTGCAATTTAAAGGCTTTTGTTACTTAGATTTTAAATCACTCTGCATTGAGTACTGATTGTTTAAGAAACTCAGCATATTTCCATAGTGAGTAATCTGATTTAACTAAGAATTTTATCTGAACCAGAATGTTCTTTATTTGATCAGAAATATTTGTATTAATATTTCATTTTAGAAGCTGTATTAATAATAGCCTAAATTATAGTTTGGTTCATTAATAATGCTGCACTTCTGTTTTAAAGTATAGGTATTTGGTGGGAGAGTAGCCAATAACTAACTTTTAAAAATTTGTTATACAGGATTGTCTGAACCATCCTTTGTTGCAAAACATGAAGATAGTTTGTTTAAGGATTTATTTCAAGACTACGAAAGATGGGTTCGTCCTGTGGAACACCTGAATGACAAAATAAAAATAAAGTTTGGCCTTGCAATATCTCAATTAGTGGACGTGGTAGGTGTGCATACTGTTACATACTCAGCTTCACGCAGGTCTAGTGAGAGCTATCGTGTGCCTAGGCCTGTGTCAGGCACCGAGGATTGCAAAGGTAAATGAGACACAGTCCTTGTCCTCAAGGAACTCACCAGGGAAAAATGATTATTATGCCACAGACATAGTAATACACCGTGTTTATATAATTTTATATAATTGTATGGTTTAGAGATTGTTTTATCTCATTTAGTAATTACAGTAAGTCTATTTAACAATTCAAATATATTAAAACATCTTATATTGAAGTTTCTCCTTAAGTGTGTTAAAAATATGATCAAAAAGGTTAAGAAAAAGTCCAAGAAGAGAGTCATAGATTCTTAGGACCAAAAAGTATCTCAACAGATCATTGTCTCAGTATCACACTTAAAACATTTCAGAGATTTTTTCCATGTGACATTTACCAGGGAAAGTAAGTTCTCTTGATAACCTGTTCTTATTATTAAGAGAGCCTTTCTATTTAAACTCAAAAACTCATGCTAATTTTTCAACTAGTTTCTTTTTGTTCCAATCACGTCAATCAATAATTATTTCCCTGCTGTGTTCCCAGAACAATCGAGTATTTATATATAAATATATTTTAAATAACATTTATAGGTGTGCCTTTATGTTCTGACTAGAGAAGCAGTGCATGATTTTTGTAGAGAATTTGGAAAGTGCAAAAAAATAAAAATTGACTGTAAGTCTACCACCCAGAGATGGCTAAATGTTAATAATTTGTTATATTTCTTGCCAGTGTTTTTTGTGTGTATGTTACAAAATTGTAATCATATTTTAGATATAATTTTGATTACTGCTTTTTCCCTACTCTTACATAATGAGTATTTTCCTGTGTCATTATGTAATCTTGAAATATAATTTTGATTGCTACATGATATTCCATTTATAATTTATTTAAACATTCTCCTATTGTTGGCAGAAGCTCATTCTCAGTTTTTCATATTATAACTGACAGTGATAAATTCGTACACAAATGTCTGGCTTTCTCCTTTCCTTAAGAAAGGCAATTAATGAATCAAAGGATATACATTTTTAAAAGTCTGTTGATATATGTCCCCTAATTGCTTCCAGAAAGGTCAGTGAATATATATGGACTGTGTGCTCAGCCCTTTGCTAGGCAATATGGGGAGATTTTAAATATAAATAAGAATAGGAGAGCAGAAAGTAAGTTAAGTGGGGCTTGCTCTCAAAGATATTTCTAGTTGAGGCTATTGCACATAAATGGTACAGAACATTACAGCACTAAATTGTGATGCCATAAAGAGCTGAGAATTTCAGAAAGTAAGTTAAGTGGGGCTTGCTCTCAAAGATATTTCTAGTTGAGGCTATTGGCACATAAATGGTACAGAACATTACAGCACTAAATTGTGATGCCATAAAGAGCTGAGAATTTAGATTTTGGTGACTGAGATTATCAAAGAAGGAGGGATAGAGAAGGTGGCACTTGAGCTGGCTTAATAGGAAGTGTAGGGTTTGACATGGCAGAGGAAAAAATACTAAGAAGGAACAGTATAACTGCGGGTACGTAAGTGATACTGAGCCTATTTGTAGCACCATTTAGATCAGAAGATTAGCGTTGGAAGCCCTGTTGCTTAGGAATGAATGGTCTGACCGCCACGGAGGCAAGGTGGAATCCTGCCTTTGCTCCTGCCATTTCTTCTACTTGGAGAGCTTTCCTACTGGCACAGCCATTTATTCTTCAAGCCTAAATTCTTTTGTCGGACCCTTTGTGAAATCTTTGCAGACTCCCTAGACAGTGTCTCCTCTGGTCAGTCTTTTGCACTTTAACACGGTGCCCATTACATGGACTGGTACTCACGTGCTCTGACGTTGCATCTGCAGAGCAGGGCGAGCTTTATTCCTTGCGTCTGCCCCAGAGCCTTGCATGGTGTCTGACACAAGAGACGCTGAATGGGTGAGAGATCTGATAGGCAACAGACCTGGTAGAAGCAGTACTTTGGGAAGATCAGTAAAACAGCCATATACATGGTTTTGTGGAGAGAGATTAGAAGCTTGAGAGGCAAGTTAGAAGATCACATAGAAAGAGGAACAGGACTTGACCACTGAGTGTGGAGGGAGGGGTCAACTTTCGAAGCCTAGATGATTAGAATGGAAGAGTGACAGAAATTGGAAAGAAAAAATTAGTGGTTATGGGAGTAGGGCAGAGAAGATGATTAGTTTGATTGTGAATTGAGATGTTCATTCCAAAGAAAATGTTCACTAGCCCTTGGGAAGTCAAGACTAGCTCTGAGGTGAGAGATGAGGCCAAAGATGTCAAGTTGGAATTGCTGGCCTGAGGGTGGCTGTGGAAAACTTAGAACTGATGAGTTTTTAAAGCTGGCAGGGAAAGCAAGAGGCTGATCCTTGAGGAACATTCGTAGAACGTGGTAGAAGGAAGGGTTAGCCAAGCTGAGAAGTTGAAGAAGTGTTGCTTCTTGAGAGAAGAGCCCAGAAAATGTAATGTCAGTGACAATGGGGGAAAGGGGACTGGAGTCAGGGAAGATGAGGGGCCAAGGGCCCTGGAGATTGAGAATAGAAAATTCACTCAATTGCTTCTAAACTGTTTTACGTTCCTTTTATCGCTAAGATCTTTCCCCCTCAACCCTGTAATCATGTTCGGTGGCTCTTCCTTGACCTCTCCTCAGATTCCTAGTTTATTTCCTACATGTTCTGCACTCTTTTTTAAAATCTCAGTGTTGGCTTGTTTGGATTTAATTGTTATGATCAGGTTAAAAAAAACAGTATTATTCTAAAACTTTTCTGCTGTACTTCTGTATAGATAACCTTTCTACATTTATTGTGGTTTCCTTCTGGGCGTCCCACATTTGTCCTCACCCAGTTTTAATTTTGTTGCATCCCCCGTTGTGCTGAGGACATCATAGATGCTCGGGAGATAGTTGAGATCAAGTAATTAGTGGCGAACCAGCACATCTTTGGGGCCAATTGCAAACTTATGGATTGTCTTTTTATCTGTGTTACTGTTGGAGATACTAGGAATTGACTGGGTCCTAACTCACAGAGAAAAATTTATGTGTCCACATTTTTCTAGGGGAGGTTTCCATGATTTTCATTAGATTCTCAAAGATGACCTACTGTCATGTACCATCATTGGTACATGTTTACCAGAACTTTCCTAATTGTTAATGCCTCTGTTTAGAACTTTTGCCTAATACGCATATTCTGATACAGGGATCAGCAGTTATTCTGGATGGTGTGTGACTGTGGTGTGGAACTGGTGGCGTAAGGCTTAGATTTAGGAGATTTAGTTCTAAAATCAATTTGACCACTAATTGGTGGTGTGATTTTAGGCAAGTCGCCTCACTGGGCCAGTTTCTTTATCTGCAGAATGAAGAGATTACAGTAGATAAAATCTCTAGGGCCTTTCCAACTCTAGTGTTTTAATCAAAGAAAATTGCTCTTTGGGATTGCAGCGTGAGAGGGATGGCATGCTATATTCCCCAGCACTCCTTCCCATGGAGGGACCTCATAGAACTGCCTTTGCCCCTAGTGATGGACTTCCTCCCGGTCTCCTCCTTTCTCCTGGGTCATTCACCCATTGTTGGGATGCGATAGGGAATGGGTAACCTCCAGTTACCTGGGCTATTTACACCCCTGTCATTTCCCCCCAACTGCCTCATACTTCTGTGGGTCTCTGGGCTTAGCATCGTGTCCTACACATAGTACTTGTGGTTGGTGATTACGATGATCTTTTACTGGTTTAGCTGACTCCAAATTTCAGTAAAATTTAATGGAAGAAATGTCACTTTAATTAGGCCGTGAAAATTCAGTAAAAGACTGGCATAGCAAAGATATGACAGCAGGAAGGTGTAAGTGACAAGTACCAAGGACTCCTGGTTCTCTAGAAAAGTGGGACTTAAAAGCTTTAGGAAATTGGCATTTAGTATTTTTCTCTACATAGCAGACCTGCAGGGAGATTCAGATTCTTGCCTCAGCAGAGGCAAATGACTACAAGGGATAGTGCCTCAGGAATGCACAGAAATACTGTGTTTCACTGATTCTGAAATGCACACTTCTCCACATTTGAGCACCTCTGAAATCAAGATGTGTCTTAAAATTAATAGCAGCTTGCAATTCATTGGCGGCTTTTCTTTTCCCTTAATGCTAAGCACATGAAATAATCCTGTGCTTATATCTTGCATTGCATCTTAAATTTGAGGAAATATGGTAGTTGAGACTGTGAACGCTAAATCTAAAAATGCCAATGGTATGCTTTAGGGTAGCTTATCTGAAATACAGAGTATGTTGAAAGGAATAATGTGAAATGAGGCTAGAAAAAAGATCTTTCCTAGAGAACTGGATTGATGAACACAATGTTGGTACTAAACGGAGACGAGTGTTTGTATAAAAATGTGAAGATTCTTATTTAAATATTTATTGTTTCTGTAACTGAAATAATCAACCTTATTTAAATTTTTATATTACAGGATGAGAAAAATCAGTTAATGACAACAAATGTCTGGTTGAAACAGGTATGTACAAAAGTCAAACAGGCACCCAACCAGTGAGTGGCACCACTGTTTTTGTTACAGGGCTTGTAGCACAAAGGGCCATGCGTATGTGGTCTTGGTGTATTGGCAGCACGCAGAAGGATGAGGGTAGATGGAGTTCTTGTATTCATTTAGTTAATATTTTTTGAGTGCCAGCTATGTGCCAGATACTGTTCTGGGTGCTGGGGAATCAGACAAAGATCTGCCCTCCAGGAACTTCATTCTAGTGGTGGCGGGGAGGGCGGGGAAGGAGGGGGAGATAAACAAGTTGTTTAGTGCCCTAGAGGCTGATAAGCTTGGAGAAGAACACATTGGGAAAGAGGTTAGGGACTCTTGGGGACTACTTATAAATAGGATAGTCAGAGAAAATGTCACTGAGAAGGTACTGTTTGAACAAAGACCTGGGGGAGAGGGAGCAAGTCAGGTGGACATCTAGGGAGAAGTGTTCAAGGCAGAGGGACCTGCACGTGCAAAGGCCCCGAGGCTGGGGTGTGCCTAGTGTGTGCGAGGATCAGCAAGGAGGTCAGTGTGGCTAGAGGGAAGCGAGGGGAGGGGAGCAGGAGATGGGGTCACATACACAACAGGAGTAGCGCCTCACAGGCCACCGCAACACTGTGGCTTTTGCTCTGAGTGAGATGGGAATGGGCCAGAACGTAATAAACTATTCTTATGTATATAGTCCCTTTTTAAAGGACTTTTTTTTCTGGGCCACCATTCATATGTCCTCAGCTGCTGTTAAATGCTTCCCTTTGTTTGTTCTTCATCATCCCTGATTATTATACCTACTACCCGTTCGCTAACCCCAAACTCCTAAAGGCATGTATGCTTTGCTTGGCGTGCAACTCTTAATATAATGACAGAATTGTTACTGCATGGAGGTTGAACAAGGTGTTTAAATTTGTGGAATGTGTAATAAATCCAACTCCCCTTTGCATGGACCAGCCCAGCCAAATCAGGTGACAATACAGGTGGAAAAGGATGTTTCCCTTGGTGCTCATGGCTTCAGGTCCTGGCTGTGGTCAGTGGTGGGAGCAGAGGTGCTGAGCAGAGCCATGAATGCATCCAGCTCTGGTCCTCAGCCGTATCTCACAAGGACGAGCCACCGCACGAGGGGACAGGGTTATGCTCTAGTGCTCGTAAGAAAGACATGGAGGTGAGTTTTCTCTATTGGAGGTAGAGATGATTTCTTATGTAGAATTTCTGGGTTTGACAAAGAGTCTAGTTTTCACTGTTTTCAACTATTTTATTGAAATTGAGGCAGATTTCTTTGTTTTACAGGAATGGATAGATGTAAAATTAAGATGGAACCCTGACGACTATGGTGGAATAAAAGTTATACGTGTCCCTTCAGACTCTCTCTGGACCCCAGACATTGTTTTGTTTGACAAGTAAGTTATATTCTAAATATCATTTTATATTATCGAAAGAAAACACTTGTATCACTATCAGGCACTAGCAGTTTTTTCTCCCTTTTGAAAATTGTTCAGCTATAAATGACATGATCTTACATTCTTTTGTTTCATGAACCTACAAATAGGTTCTGTGGGTCCCTTCTCTTTCTTGGTGGTGGTGTTTTCTGATCGTAAAAGTGTTCTCTGATTTCTAAAATTTGTAAAAGACTTGGGAAGTACAGAAAGGTGTAAGGAAGTAGGGAAATCACCTATAATCAATCCCATTATCCCCTCACTTAGAGACAACCACTGGTATTAGCTTACACATATAGTGAACTTACTATGTGCCTGGCAATGTGCTAAGTGCCTTACATGCTTTAGTTCATTCGGTTCTCACAGTGACCTCATGTGCTGGGTAAGATGACATCTATTTTTACAGATAAGGAAACGGAGGCCAAGGGTGGTTATATCTTGTCCAAGATCACACAGCTCACATGTGGTGGGGTAGGGGTTCACACCAAGGCAGCCTAATAACATCTCCATTTACCCTTTTATTTACTGGACTATGTATTTGGTGGACGTCTGGTTTTTTTGTTTGTTTTTTGGTGTGTTTCTTAAATAGTTGAGGTCATATTTTATGTTCAAATGTATAATTTTAATTTTGTTTTAATACTATATTGTCATTTTCCCACGATGAGGAATGTTGAGTTAATTCTTAACTCATCTTTATAGTCATCCTATCTAGATGTGCTTTGAGGATTTCTTTTCTTTTTTTAAACTTGGGGGAGGGAGAGGATAATTCTGGGTACCAGTTTCATGTTTTTCTAGAACCACCTGAGGGCAAGTCTGGGAGTCTGTGCTTATCATAAAGAACTTTGTCTTAACTGCAAGAAAGCATTTGGGGCCGGCCGGTGGCGCACTGGAGAGTGCGCCGCTTGGGTGTGTGGTGGCGCTCCCGCCGAGGGTTCAGATCCCATGTGGAGACCGGTTCCCGCTCACTGGCTGAGCGTGGTGCGGGCGCAACACCGAGGTTTGTGATCCCATTGCCGGTCCCCGGTACGGGCGCGACACCGAGGGTTGCGATCCTGTTACCGGTCAGTAAAAAAGACAAAAAGGAAAAAAAAAAGAAAGCATTTGGCATGAGAACAGAGCAAACGCCACACAAAGGTATCTTTAATTTTTTGAAACCTTTTACCTCCATGCTCTCAACACATAAGGGGTGAAGAAAGCTTTTAAGGTAACATGATGCCGCTTCCTGGAGCATCATTTTACTCTCAGTAGTTGAGAACATTTTTATATTAAACATGGATATATTACAGAGTATTGTGCAAAAGTCACATGAAGTTGAAGATAAAGAGCAATATTTCAAAGCAATCTTTTGTTGGTGTTGCAGCTTCCTGCTTGACCTCTCTATAGGGGGGGAGTTTGCTTGATGGGAGAAGTTGAGAGGCACTGCCATCTTTCATGGCCACACCCAGCTTGGTGCCAATGTTCTTTTCCTATCAAAGGAGCAAGTGGCCAGTATTTGTGATGGAGGAGGAAGAACGCTGTGTGGGGAGTTTAGGAATGTGGATTCAGGTTCTGGGTCTGTGCATGCCCACTGTATAAATAGCCTGATTCTATTTTGTGTGTAAAGTGAGGCCTTTCCAACCACTAAAATCTTGGGGTTTTGCGTAATATAGATTTGTCAGTCCTGGAGTAGATGGGAAAGAAAGGGTTCCATTCCAGTAAAGTTAGATATTTAAGGAAGATGTCCCTAGAGCAGGGTCCCCTATGTGTAGCAAGTATATCTGTAGTAATTTAAAAATTATTTCATGCTGTCAGTTATAAGCTTTCTTTTATATTAGGCTTGTAAAATGCATCCTTGGGCTGTTTAATTTCTGCATCATTACTGTCCATGTGTGTGTATTTTAGTGCAGATGGTCGATTTGAAGGGACCAGTACGAAAGCAGTCGTCAGGTACAATGGCACCATCACCTGGACCCCACCGGCAAACTACAAAAGTTCCTGTACCATAGATGTCACATTTTTCCCATTTGATCTTCAAAACTGTTCCATGAAATTTGGTTCTTGGACTTATGACGGGTCCCAGGTTGACATAATTCTAGAGGACCAAGATGTAGACAAGAGAGACTTTTTTGATAATGGAGAATGGGAAATCGTGAGTGCAACGGGGAGCAAGGGAAACAGGACTGACAGCTGTTGCTGGTATCCTTATGTCACGTACTCGTTTGTAATTAAGCGTCTGCCCCTCTTTTATACCTTGTTCCTTATTATACCCTGTATCGGGCTCTCGTTTCTAACTGTACTTGTCTTCTATCTTCCTTCAAACGAAGGTGAAAAGATTTGTCTGTGCACTTCCGTACTGGTCTCTTTGACTGTCTTCCTGCTGGTTATTGAAGAGATCATACCCTCCTCTTCAAAAGTCATACCGCTGATCGGAGAGTACCTGGTGTTCACCATGATCTTTGTAACACTGTCCATTATGGTCACTGTCTTTGCTATCAACATTCATCACCGTTCTTCCTCCACGCATGAGGCGATGGCACCGTGGGTCCGTAAGGTATTTCTTCACAAGCTTCCCAAACTGCTTTGCATGAGAAGCCACGCAGACAGGTACTTCACCCAGAAAGAGGAAACCGAGAGTGCTGGTGGACCAAAACCTTCGAGAAACACATTGGAGGCTGCGCTGGATTCCATTCGCTACATTACAAGACACATCATGAAGGAGAATGATGTCCGTGAGGTCTGTGACATGTTGTATGTACAAATGCAGATCTGCGTCAATTCTAAGTCCAAAAGGGGCCTCAATGATTTTTGGCACAGTAAACAGCATGATACTTAAGACTAAGCATGGATTGAGGGCCAGAATTGTTGACACACTTTTCTATGAAAGATCTTTACTAAAATCTGTTTTAGTTAAAACTCCTGCAAAATGGGGCACCTGGACAAATCTCTCCTCTCCATTTCCCCCATCAGCATATTGGATGACTCTAAAGGAAATTTAGTGTTATGCATTCTAAGGAATAGTAATCCTGTCATATGTTTTTTGGCTCTGACATGATGAACTGTTTTAATTTTATCCTCAGTAACTTGGTTTCTGAATTCTGTGGTAATCTGCAGGCAGAACTGCATTATAATTTATCAAACATTTTATTTTGTAAAGAATGAGCCTAATGTAGGCTTTACAAATATAGCCAAAGCATTTTTCTAGAATAAATCTTTTTGTTGTTTATTTATAAGAGAATGTTAGAGAAATTAAAGGGAGTAAGGGATTCTTACTCTTATTATACATTGAAGTGTTCACATGAAGCTTAGTAATAGGGCTTAGTATGCTTAATTTACTCAAAAACAAAAAGTTGCTTAAAACTTTATTATAGAAAAATAACTCTTACTAGCTCCTTATTGAAGGTTAATATTTAAAATGCAAGAATTAAACACAAATACATTTTATTAATGTGATCATACTGCCCTGGGTTTTCTTTCAAAACATAAAATTTCAATCTTGTCACTGCCCTTCTCTATTTTTATTGTGCAATATTTTTAAACCTATAACTATAGTAATATTTTCATAATTGAATTTACTTTAAATGGTCCCATTAAAATTATGTAAATTCTAATTTTTAAAGATTAAGTGAAAATTTTCCCACAGGTATGGGAAGCAGACCAAATGAATCTGATGAAGTAACAGTCTTTCCCCAAAAAGGGACATTTGATGTATACTTTTTAAAAACTTTTTTTTTTTCCTTTGTCTTTTTTCGTGTCCGGCAACAGATTGCAACCCTCAGTGTCGCGCCCGTACCGGACCAATAACAGTCTTTCCCCAAAAAGGGACATTTGATGTATACTTTTTAAAAACTTTTTTTTTTTCCTTTGTCTTTTTTCGTGTCCGGCAACGGATTGCAACCCTCAGTGTCGCGCCCGTACCGGACCGGGGACTGGCAACGGGATCGCAACCCTCGGTGTTGCTCCCGCGCCTCGCTCAGCCAGTGAGCAGGAACTGGTCTGTATGTGGGATCCGAACCCTCGGCGGGAGTGCTACTGCGCTCCCAAGCGGCACACTGTAGCAGTGCACCACCGGGCCGGCCCTAAAAACTTTTAATGCTTATGGATTTGTAAAATTTCTATTTTGCAGTAGGGTAATTAAATGAGTTTATAACATCTGAAGCTATCAGTGGTGACTCAAAAAATACATACATTTGTTAGATTATGATTTAGACTGAGATAGAATTTAATAAATGTCTACAAATTATTGAAGGAGTCAGGGCTTGTACTACTAGGACCAGGAAGTGGGTTTTATTTTCAGGGGAAAACTAAGAAGCAGAGAAGTAGTAGAGTATTTACAATACCCTAAATTCAAAATTATCCCACAACTTGGGGCACAGTTCCTGTAGAGGACCCTGTGTTCCACAGAGGCTCCAGGAGTGAGGGAAGCCTCTGGTCAGAGAACTGGCCTTGTAGAAAGGGGAGCCCTGTGCTCAGTGGANTACATTGAAGTGTTCACATGAAGCTTAGTAATAGGGCTTAGTATGCTTAATTTACTCAAAAACAAAAAGTTGCTTAAAACTTTATTATAGAAAAATAACTCTTACTAGCTCCTTATTGAAGGTTAATATTTAAAATGCAAGAATTAAACACAAATACATTTTATTAATGTGATCATACTGCCCTGGGTTTTCTTTCAAAACATAAAATTTCAATCTTGTCACTGCCCTTCTCTATTTTTATTGTGCAATATTTTTAAACCTATAACTATAGTAATATTTTCATAATTGAATTTACTTTAAATGGTCCCATTAAAATTATGTAAATTCTAATTTTTAAAGATTAAGTGAAAATTTTCCCACAGGTATGGGAAGCAGACCAAATGAATCTGATGAAATAACAGTCTTTCCCCAAAAAGGGACATTTGATGTATACTTTTTAAAAACTTTTTTTTTTTCCTTTGTCTTTTTTCGTGTCCGGCAACAGATTGCAACCCTCAGTGTCGCGCCCGTACCGGACCGGGGACTGGCAACGGGATCGCAACCCTCGGTGTTGCTCCCGCGCCTCGCTCAGCCAGTGAGCAGGAACTGGTCTGTATATGGGATCCGAACCCTCGGCGGGAGTGCTACTGCGCTCCCAAGCGGCACACTGTAGCAGTGCACCACCGGGCCGGCCCTAAAAACTTTTAATGCTTATGGATTTGTAAAATTTCTATTTTGCAGTAGGGTAATTAAATGAGTTTATAACATCTGAAGCTATCAGTGGTGACTCAAAAAATACATACATTTGTTAGATTATGATTTAGACTGAGATAGAATTTAATAAATGTCTACAAATTATTGAAGGAGTCAGGGCTTGTACTACTAGGACCAGGAAGTGGGTTTTATTTTCAGGGGAAAACTAAGAAGCAGAGAAGTAGTAGAGTATTTACAATACCCTAAATTCAAAATTATCCCACAACTTGGGGCACAGTTCCTGTAGAGGACCCTGTGTTCCACAGAGGCTCCAGGAGTGAGGGAAGCCTCTGGTCAGAGAACTGGCCTTGTAGAAAGGGGAGCCCTGTGCTCAGTGGATAAGAATAAAGTTTTTTAGTTTATTGTAAAATGTCCAAGTAGTATAAATATTTTAATTTTTATTAAAATATACTTAAGTAAACTACTTGTAATATATTACCAGTTGATGTGTAAATGAACAAATTTTGTAATGTCTTTTAAAGCTTGAAGAGGCTATATTTGTAAGACCATCGAGGTAGTATCTGTCGCTGAACTGAGTACGGGGTCAGCCTGCCCTCTCCTTGTGGTATTCTCAACCTGCTCCTGGCTCAAGCTGGCTCCAAGGCTAGCAGTTCTGTCCCTGTGAGTTTAGATTAAAATGGTCCCTAGGAAATCCAAAAGTAAATAAAGTGGGTGAGGAGAGGGAGAGAAGATTGACGGCTTTCTAATGTGTATTACTCTGAACCAACTTTTAATTTGGCATGAAATTAACCTCAGGCTAGAGTCTTAAAAAACTAAAATAAATAAGTGAACACTACTGGGCAAGAATAAGGAATAGAAATTATATAGTAAGAATAAAGTTTTTTAGTTTATTGTAAAATGTCCAAGTAGTATAAATATTTTAATTTTTATTAAAATATACTTAACTAAACTACTTGTAATATATTACCAGTTGATGTGTAAATGAACAAATTTTGTAATGTCTTTTAAAGCTTGAAGAGGCTATATTTGTAAGACCATCAAGGTAGTATCTGTCGCTGAACTGAGTACGGGGTCACCTGCTGTCTGGAGGCAGCAGTGGGAGGCAGAAACTGATTTGGCCTCTAACTCACTGTATTACATTTTAAAATAGGTATACAATTTAAAATTATGTATTTAATGTGTTTGTATTTTTTTTTTTTTTGTAACAGGTTGTTGAAGATTGGAAATTCATAGCCCAGGTGCTTGATCGGATATTTCTGTGGAGTTTTCTTCTGGTTTCAATTGTTGGATCGCTTGGGCTTTTTGCTCCTGTTATTTATAAATGGGCAAACATAACAGTACCAGTTCATATTGGAAATGCAAATAACTGAAACTTCCCAAGGGGTTGAAGTATGAATTGTTACCAAACATATATCTTGTGGCACCTATAAAATTAGGTAAATGTAAATTGTGTTTAAAATTTGATGCAAGCCTTAACAGATTAACAATTGCTAACATTGGTTTATCTTAATAGATCGTCCATTAGAACATCTGCCTGCATAACTGAAGTAATAACTGATGGAATAACATTTAATCTTCTAAAAAGAGTAGCAAAATATTATCCAAAATGTACCAGTGAAAACCTAATGTTTGTATCTTGGCAAATAATACTAAATTCATTATCAACAGTGAAGTTAATCAGTTCATCTTTTGATGAACTTAACTGTTGTGCTGGAAAATTCCAATTGTATTTGAAGACTGATTTTTAAAGCTTTCTGTGCATTTGGTAAAGGTATATGCAGGTACTTCAAAAAATTCATGGAAAGATTGGTATTATCTTTTAATTCTATTTTTCCACGAACTTTTTGAAGTACCTTCATACACTTTAAATTCTTTCTGTCCTGTATTCACTGAGTAACAGCTAATCTTTAGTTTAATATTATACTGCTATGTAAAATAAGCTGACAACTTGATATAACTTATGTGATCCTGCTTTTCTATAGTGAACGTTTTTAATAAATGATAAATAGGAATTGAGACCTCCTTTAAGGCTTACTTTATTCTCTGGATGCTTAAGCTGAATAATTATTATAGTAACTATTTTTATAGCTTACTTTTCATTGTAAAATCACAAATAGACAATTTTGGTGAACATGCAGTAGCAATCCATAACATCAATTTCAGTCACCTTGTCCACATTTCCCACAATTAATAGAACCATCTTCCGCATAAATTGTGGTAGCATCTCTTTATCTTTGATCTTAGAATAGTCTACTACAATTATATAAATCCTATTTTAAAAACGTGTATGTCTAAATCATTCTGTGAGAAAACCATCTTCCAAGATTAAAGATGGTTTCCTAATTTGGCATAAGCACCTGTAAATGTTCAATTTTCTCTTTTATTCCAGCAATTACAACAATAGAATCTTAGAGTTGTAAAGGCCTTTGGATGCAATCTAGTCTTAGCCTATGACTAGTACAGTATATATTATTCAATACAGCAGAATGTATCACAGATGAAACAGTTAAATTTCATCTCTAAATGTCCCTGATTCAGCTCTGACCAGGAAGAAAACACCAACAGAAACCTTGTATTCGATTTAAAACTCTTAGCTATTGAGACAACAAATGCTTTATTTATTTATAGTAAGTAACCCATCTAAGTTCAATTTGCATTTTACTGTAGGCAGGTGTTTAATGCCATTTAATGAGTGAAAGTCTGGTTTGATGAATTTAAATTGCCTGTTAGCTATCTTAACTTGTACATACCTGATACCTCTTATATCCTCGTTATAGTTAAGATTTTTATATATAAATAAATTTTATAGAACTTTTCCTTTTGGCTCATTGAAACATGAATCACAGTGGGCTAAAATTTTGTCAGTTTTATTTTTGCATAGGAAAAACATGACTAGTGAGAAGATTCAAACGGTTTGTGAGTCATCATCTCTGTCAGTGATTATTCAGATTATGAAGTGTAGCGTGAGATGCTCTCTTAACGACAATTACTAGGCACCAATAAAAACAATAATTTGTCTAAAGCAGTGCTTCTCACCCAGGGGCAATTTTGCCCCTGAGGAGACATTTAACAATGTTTGGAGACATTTTTGGTTGTCACAACAGGCAAGGAAGGTGTGTCGTTGTCATCTAGTAGGTGGAGGCCAGGGTGCTGCTAAAGATCCTACAATACATAGTGTATACACACACACCCCCACCCCAACATATACTTAGCCAGCCCAAAATGCCAGTAGCGCTAAGCCTGAGAAACCCTGTTCTAAAGGTTCATGCCATGGTTTGAATGTCTGTGTCCTCTCAAAATTCATATGTTGAAACCTAATCCCCAATGTGATAGTGTTAGAAGGTGGGGCCTTTGGGAGATGATCAGATCAGAAGGGCAGAGCCTTTATAAATGGGATTAGTGTCCTTATAAGAGACCCCAGAGAGCTAGCTAGCCCCTTCAGCCTGTGAGGACATAGCTAGAAGGCACCCTGTCTGAGGAAGAGGGCTGTCACCAGACACCAAATCTACTTGTGCCTTGATCGTGGACCTCCTAACCTACACATTTGTGAGAAATTTCTACTGTTTATAAACCACCAAGTTTTTGGCATTTTGTTATAGCAGCCCAAACAGACCAAATTCATTAACAGTGAATGTGTGACTAGGCATCATCTTTCATGGTACAATAATTGAGAACTGTACAAGATAAACAGTTGAGGCCCTCTGAAGTGGAAGTGTGGCCCTTCGACTCATGAAGAAAAGTAAATAAGAAATGCGCACTAAGACATGGGGGTGGTAGTGGGGTATGGTTGAAATAGTATAAAACAAGGAGATTATGGGCTAAGAAACACCATTGGGAGATCTGTGGTAATATTGAACTGAATGGACTCTCATATTTCTTTTTTTCTTTTTTTGTCTTTTGTCTTTTTCTGTGTCCGGCAACGGATCGCAACCCT